AACCAGGAATCAGAATCAGAAATACTTTAATTATCCCAGGGCCAAATTACTTTTGTTGCATGACTCAATCTGTAATAGAGTGACTATAGGACAAGTTTTATATAACACAATTTTATACAATATATATAATTAGGGGGTCCCCGCTCCATCTCGCCATCAGTTTGGGGGTCCTTGGCCTGGAAAATGTTGAAAACCCCTGCTTTTTAAATGAAAGTGTAGATTAAGATGTTGAATTGAGCACAATGTTCTCCTGATCTCAGTCAACCTGAAGATCTGTAGGATGTGGTTCACAAAAAAGCCTGATCCACTGAGTCAAAAGCTTTTCGGACTTAAAAAAATTAGCAAGGCACATATTGGTATCAGATACTCCCAGCACACTGTCATGAGTCTAGTGCTTATGTATAGCTTCAAGATTATCCACAGCATGTTCATAGCTAATTTTAAAATGGCCTTGTTTTCTTTTTTCTTAAATTAGGTATTTTTTTCCCCAATCTCTTTCTTATTGTCTAATTGTGAAAACAGACCATAACTCAGGTAGATAAGGTCTTCACCCATTTCACAATTTAAAAAAAAGAGGAAAATGATTTTCCTCCTTTTTTCCTCTCATTTATTCATGACATTATATCAAGATATAAAATTAGTTCCATGTGCTGTGATATTGCTTTAACTGACTGGTCAGCATGCATGACTTTCACCTGGGAGTCTGTGGAATTGAATCTTGCCAAGTACATTTAAACATTGTTGAATATGAGTTATAAAATTTTTAAAAAATTATAAACCGCTCTAAAATGGTAAAAAAGAAAATGTGACTTACTCTTGAAGGATGTTGACAACAATCTGTCATCTAAAACTGTGAGAGGAACCAAAAACATAGACAGATTAAGAAATTAAAGTACTGCAATACATGTTGTGTTAAAAGAAACACAAGCAGAGAAAACAGATGCAGGCTGATAGACAAATGGTTACCTGAGGTTCTCATTTCTCTGATCTCCAGAGCATTAGTTGGTCTTTTTGGTGATGCTAGGGTCCTTTTCACAGTTGTATCCAAATCAGCCATAGCGTTGTCAACAGATGCTTCTTGGCCTGCAGGGACTTTAAACTCCGACAGGTAGTAGGCAATAACACTTCCCTCACTGGAAACATCAGCATCAGAAACTTGTTATTATAGCCACCAAGCTTACTAACATCGAATAAAAAACACATTCTTAAGTTGATCTTAATCTATTTTCCCTTTAGGATTAAAAAAGTATTTTTGAGTTTCATTCTAAACATCCTGCGTGATAACATAAAAAAAACTTGACTGGACTCACAACGCTCTCTATAAGAAAGGCCAGAGCAGACTCTTCCTGCTGAGGAGACTGAGGTCTTTTGGAGTGCAGGGTGCTCTCCTAAAGACCTTCTATGTTGTTTCATCAGCCATCTTCTATGGAGCTGTCTGTTGGAGCAATGGCTAATCTGTTGCTGAGAAAAAGCGGCTTGATAAGCCGATCAGGAAGGCCAGCTCTGTGATTGGATGCCCTCTGAACTTAGTGCAGGAAGTGGGAAAAAAAATTATCCTAACTAAATTAACATCTCCGTTGGATAATGTCTCCCACCCCATGAATGAAGCTGGTGCTGAACTGGAGAGCTCCTTCTGGGACAGACTGCTGCACCCGAAATGCACCAGGGAGCGTTATCACAGATCCTTCCTCCCAGCAGCGGTAAGACTTTTTAACCAACACTGTTCCCAACAACCTCAAGAAGTTGTTACACTAACACACCATCAGTGTGTGAGTGTGTGCGTGAATGGGTGAATGACTGAATGTAGTGTAAAGTGCTTTGGTCAAGTCTCCTGACTTGAAAAAGCGCTATATAAGTACAGGCCATTTACCATTTACCTTATTAATTTTTGCAGTTTCTATCTTAGTCAATTAAATAACATGCTGCTGTCATTTTGCACATCTCTGATGTTGCTATTTTCAAAAGTCCATTACTGTGAAAATATCCACAGCTGTATATTGGTTATTACATCCCCAGGTGCACAGTAATTATATATTTTAAAAACATTTTACAGTACAGTTTTTTGTTTATTTTTATAACTCTTCACTATTGTGTTATATTTACACACTCTTCTAAGGTCCACATTTTTTCTAGCATCTTTTTGCTGCTGTAAACACCAAAATTTTCCCCATTGTGGGACCATAAAGGGATTTTCTATTCTATTGTAAAATAACTAAATAAATCCCGTGTTATATATAGTGTCAACAGGAAGAGAGATATGATTTCATCTTCAGTCATACCTGAATGCTTGAACAACAGAGCCGACATAATATTTCTTCAGCTTTGGGTTGTTGGTGTAAATAACTTTTAGCTATAGAAGTTCATAAGGAAAAACATAATTAGGAAATGCTTGATTAAAAATGGTAATACTTTCTCCATACACTAAGAAAGAGAGCCTGACAGACTTACATCTCGCAACACCTGCTGAGCCAGAGCCTTGAACTCGGGAGAGCTGGAGTTCTCATAGGCGTTTTCAAACACCTGGTTCTCAATCTTCATTGATCCACTGTACATCCTCTTGGATAACTGTTCTGTACGGACTGAAAGGTACACAAAGAGTAGGCATGTCTCAAACCTTTCAGCTTAATAAATCGTCTGTTGCTAAAGAAGCTTAACTTTCTTTAGTAAATGTCATAATTTTGTTAGGCCTTTTTAGCAAGGCAACCCATTCTGGGATACAAGATAATTGCAAGAGAGCGAGCACGAGCCCATTTCTCTTTGTGCATGCTCTGTTTAAAAGTTGCTGTTCTCATAGCTCATACAGGCTTACTAAAAACTAAACTAAAAGAGAACTAAAAACTAAAACCCCAAAAGGGGAGAACCATAACAATTACACTCATTCCTTAAGTTAAAAGTCCTTCAAAAGTATCACAAAGAAAGTCCAGAAGTCCCAGGAAATTCACCACGCTGACTTAAACAAATAAAAACAAAGTTTTGCTGTTATGTACTGCTAGCCAGCTGGCTTAGAGAGGAGTACAGTAAGCTACATTCCTAAACACAGGGACTTGTATGTGCAAATTAAAGGAGCTTCAACCACTGAGGCTCACTTCCATCACTGCTCCTTTTTCTCTTTTAATATAAAATAAAAACAGGAAGACATTCAGACCAGAAAACAGGATGGATGGATGGATGAATGAATGAATGAATGAATGAATGAATGAATGAATGAATGAAAGAAAGAAAGAAAGAAAGAAATCAAGGAAGGAATCACGGAAGGAATCAAGGAAGGAAGGAATCAAGGAATAAAGGAATCAAGGAATGAAGGAATCAAAGAGGGAATCAAGGAATGAAGAAAGGAAGGAAGGAAGGAATGAAGGAAGGAAGGAAGGAATCAAGGAAGGAAGGAAGGAAGGAATCAAGGAAGGAAGGATGCTTTTAAAACTTATTTTGATATTGGCTGTATTTTTCCTTCCCAGTATTTTTTGAAGCACTATTTGTGTTTGTTTTGGAGTTTACATGTTTCATGGGTTTGTTTGGTGTTCACAACTTACTTTGCATCTTCATCTGCTGACCACTGTAGGATGTAATTATTTTAGTTTTCTCAACAATCTCTTTCTTTTGCTGTTTTATACAAATTACTGAAAAAGTGAATACACTAATATTTGGTCTTTGATTTCCTTATTCTTATGTTTTCAGTAAAAAAATATTTAGTAAAAAGAAAAATAAAACTGACTGGTTCAGCACTTTTTTTTGTTTTAGAATCATAATTATTAATGGTCAAGAAGTGCACCAAAGAATCGTAGGCGCTAAAGGCTCCTGAAATAGTGACTATAACTATAAACTTGAAATCAGAGTAATTTTCAAAACCAAAGTCATATTTCTTGTTTTTGCATACAATCTGGTCACAATCCCTGATTCTGATTTGCTTTCTATTCTGCGGGCGGAGCATCTTCATTCCTTCACTCTCTGTGGAACTGGTTTCATACACACAATTCATCCAGCTCTGTAAAGTTATTCCCTTATCAAACAAAGAAGCTACTTACATTGGAAATGCCAGATCAGCAGCCCCGTCATGAGAGCAATAACAGCTGCCAAGATCACCGCCCCAAGCACTATGGCCGTCTTCCCTTGACCATTCTTCTCCAGCGTTTTGTTTTCTGACTCTTTTGGGAACTTCTCAGAGTCAATTTCTTTAACCTAAAAAAAAAAAAAAAAAAAAAAAAAGGTAAAGCAATTTTTTGTAGAGGTGCACCCGTAAAGGCTCTTACCCAAAGAGAAAATGGAATTTCTTACCTGAGAAATTTAAACATACATACAATGGTTTGTTCATCATGTAGGTCTGATGCTTGTTAGATTTTTTGTTGCTAGTATTTATAAGCAAATAGTAGACTAGGTCATACACAAAAACTTATCATCCACAAAACCAAATATAAATTTTTTTTTGTTTGTGTAAGGAAATAACTTTTTTCTAATTTAGTGAGAAACTTGAAATATTTTTTTGCACAACTTCAAAGTTCTGAAGTAATTGGTTACAAGAACTGTTATCAGTTTTCTGGACTAGTTTGGGTTTATAATTTTTGCACTACGTTTCTTAAACTAGTGTCTGCAATCATTTGTCACCAAATTTCATTAAACCTCAGGCTGCTACAGTAGGAGCCAATTTGAAAATGGCCTTTCTCAGTCAAACCGCATAGCAGCCCGCTTCCCTGCAACTCCCAGCAAAATCCCCTCCAACTTCCAGCAACTGCAGTGACCATCTCTTGCATATTTTTACTCCACCCTTTTACTGAATTTCAGGGTCTGGCCAGTAAATGGTACCTCTCTTTAGATCTTAATGTCCAAAAATAACGACAGAAAGAATATTTTAGTACAAAGATTGATGTTTAAAAAGAAACTGTAGTGGACCAGGCAAGGACCAGCCAAGAGCACATCAAGGAATGTGGGGAAATTTTGAATGACTACTACTGTTTAGTCCTTTAGGTCAGTAGCGCTTTAAATTAAGTAAAACCTGGAAATTCTCCATTTGTGCAAAACCCTTTTTTTCTGATAACTCTAAATATTATAGAGTACCACCAAATGCCATCAGAAGTCACCTATAAAGTAAATAGACACCCATCTTTATGCAGTCAGAAAGGCTGCCAGCATAATCCTCTTTGCATTTTTGTTGGTAGTATTTATGAGTTAATAATAGCCAATGTTATATGCATATACCAATATAACCACTTCTTTATCTCAAGTTATGTTATGTCATTGCAGAACCCTGCTATATATTTTTTATTTTTTTTTGGTTCCTGTAACTGATCTTCTAATCTGACCATGTCAGCTGTTCTGTGGAAGAAGATGCTTTAAGTGTGCATTCCTGACAGACCAAGCATAGGTAACATACTGCTCCACCCTAAGCGGAGCAGCTTCCTGCATTCCTGTACAAGTAAACCCCCTTGGTGGTAGCGTGCAATAATTTGGCTCTCAATTCACTGTGTAAAGTTAATTATAGTTTCTATGCGTACAGTAGTGTTAAAGTAGCAGGGAGGCAAGGCATCACTATAAATCTCAGGTATGGTCATGCCCCCTGCAGACCAGAGTACCATTAGACCACCTGCAGTGTGGTGCTCTGATTCTTGAATTGACAAATTCATGTGTCAATAAGGCTGAATTTTATCAAGCCTCAAGTTCCTGTACTGCTTTAGGCCAACAGGAATAGTAATGAGGCCTTATTAAGCAGCTGCTGCTGCTGCTCTGGCTGCCAGGCTGGAGAGAGAGAGGGTGGAGCCAAGGCCGATCTTTAAAGACTCCAGCTCAATGAGGATTCAGGGCAGGCTGGAAAACCTAGAACTGGAAGACAGGCTTAGTACAGCTCTATACATAACACCCCCTCCCATAAGCAGGTTGATCACATCAATCAACATGCAACATAAGCAGTGGGCAACTCACGACCTTGAAAGGGCGTCTGCAAGGACATTATCACGTCCTCTAATGTGGCGGATATCCAGGTTGAAGCCTTGCAGAAACAGGCTCCATCTCATGAGGCGCTGGATGGAGTTTTTCATGCGACCAAGAGCGACCAGTGGATTATGGTCAGTGTAGACCACGATAGGTTGGCTGGAAGAAACAAACTTCGAAATGCTCAAGTGCTAGAATTAGAGCTAAAGCCTCCTTCTCTATGGTAGAGTATCTGCTTTGATGGATGTTAAAGTTCCTAGAGAAGTAGCAGATAGGATGCTAAACTCCTGATCTCTCTTGCAGGAGGACAGCTCCAGCACCAACCTCACTGGCATCTGCTGCAATTTTAAAGGGCTGACCAAAATCAGGGGCTGTCAGGACAGGAGTACTGGCCAACAAAGCCTTCAGATTATCCAAAGCGACTTGACATGCTTCAGACCAGACAAAGGGAGCTTTAGGACTCAATAGGTTTGTCAAAGGGGCAGCAACAACAGCAAAATTTGTACAAAATCCCCTGTAGTACCCTGCCATACTGATGAAACGCTTAAGCTCACGCCTGGTACTACGAACAGTGAAGATAACAATGGCCTCTATTTTGGCCCCAACTGGGCAAATCTGTCCACATCCCACTCCTGACATCACTTTATATGGATGTTGCTTTATAGGGGCAGCGTCACCAACATCTATGTCGTGCTGTAGGACGCTGGTACAAGATGGTACATCTGAGAAGAGCTCAGGATGCCTGTGAAGTACAGCAATAATGTCATCACGTTTGTCAGAATCTAAATAACAGATGTTCATTTAGGTTAGACAGAATCTCAGAGTTCGGCAACCTTCTCTCAGGAACTGATTTGTCAACCATACCAGACACGTCCTCAGGCTCTGAATCTGCGGTGGTCAGCATAGAAATAGTCTTTTCTGTCAAAATATGGCTGCAGAAGGTTAACATGGCACAAACGTGTTTTCTTTTTCCTGTCTGGGGTCTTAACCAAATTGTCAGTCTCACTGACCTGACTTTTTTACCACAAAAGGCCCACTATACTGAGCCTGCAAAGTAGACCCAGGAAGCAGCAGGAGAACAAGCACCCTCTCCCCCGGAGAAAACACTCTGTGCTTGGCTTTTCTGTCAAACCTTTGTTTCATTTTGACTTGGACTTTGCATAAGTTTGATTTAGCAAGTTCACAAGCCCTCTGGAGTTTGGACCTGAAACTACACACAACCTGCAAGAGGTTAGATTGACAAGGTGACTCTTCTAACCATCTCTCCTTGAGAAGTTTCAGGTTTCCCCGTACGATATGGCCAAACACTAACTCAGCTGGACTGAACCCTAGTAAACCCTGAGTCACTTCTGACTGCAAAGAGTTATAGGGGAACTCCCTCATCCCACTCTTTTACAAACTATTTACAGTAGACCCTCAACATGTTTTTTAATGTCTGATGAAACCTCTAGGGCTCCCTGCGACTCTGGATCATAAGCAGAGGAAGTACAGTGTTTTATTGACAACTGCTGAAGCACCTGAGAGAACACCTTAGACATGAAGTTTGTTCCTTGGTCAGTCTGAACAACCTTTGGTAGACCAAACAGTGTGAAAAACTTAATAAGGGCCTTAGAAACAGTGGTTGCAGTGATTTTTCTGAGGGGAACAGCCTCTGGGAGACGTGTTGCCATACACATAATTGTCAGTAGATACTGATTTTCAGACTTGGTCCTTGGGAGTGGACCCACACAATCAACCACAATGTGCTCAAATGGCTCCTCAATGACAGGAATGGGATGTAAAGGGGCCTTGGGAATCGTCTGATTAGGTTTACCCACAATTTGACAGACATGACAGGTTTTACAGTACTGGGCAACATCAGATTTTAAACCAGGCCAATAGAAGTGTCTCCTTACTCTATCTAGAGTCTTCTTTACACCCATATGTCCTGCTAGGCTATGGTCATGAGCAAGGCCAAGTATTTCAGAGCGATAAACCTCTGGGACAACAATTTGATAAACACTACTCCAGTCATCCTTACAGGTTAACTCTGGAGGAGTCCATTTTTCTGACGAAATAAGCACATGAGAGATCTTCAACTTCACTTTCAGAAACAGCATCCTCAAACATAGCAGACAAACTATCATCCTGTCTCTGGGCAGCTTTAAGCTCTTTGTGAGAGGGAAAATAGTCACCAAAACCAAAAGTTTCACACTTGGAAAGAAATGTATCTGAAAGATTAACCTCTGCAGGCGCGGATTCAGGCGGGGGCGCGGGGGGTGCGTGCACCCCCCTTTGGGATATGGCAAGCTGATGGGGCCAATAATCGTCCGTACAATAACGCAATTTACGTCACCGCGCGTTCTGGCTGGAAACGCGCGGTGACGTAAAAAACGCGCGTAAAATGCAAAAAGAACTGCGCGTTATTGTACGGACGATTATTGGCCCAATCGGCTTGCCATACCCCAATGTCGTCGTTGCGAGCATGAGGAGACCTGGAAGATTTAAGGCCAAACAAGAAAACTAGACAACCATCTCTTTTAAGATTCTGGTCCAATCCAACAGAAGGGTAAGTAGAAACCAACTTTATCACTTTATTTTCTATAGGCTTATGTCTATAATCTAAATAAAAGATTGAAATGTTTATATCTTGTTTTCTATTCTTCAGTGGACCTGGCACAACTACAGAAAATGACCAGAGCGTTGACCAGTATGAACGTTCAGATATTGGAGACACACAGATAAAAGGTATGATGATTGCTAGAAAATGTTGATAAAGAGAAAACATTATCAACATTGTTGATTGTTGATAAACAAGTTGTTTAAAGTTGCAAAGTAATGCAATTGTAGGAATACTTTAACCAGTAAGGGGAAAGTTATGGAAATTGCAGTGTTTGACAAGTAATAAAAAGAGTGTACAATTAACAAAAATAAGCAACATTAGTTGCCATTGACATGCATACAATAGTTATTTTGTAGTGTGTATTTTTGGGTCTAAACCTGTACCACATGTGTTGAACTGTTAAAAATAAGAATGGTATCCTTTATGAAAATACAATTTACTTTTAAGTAAATTCAGTTTTGTGCACCTAGTGATATGTGTT